TTTTTTTTTTTTTTTTTTTTTTTTTTTTTTTTTTTTTGGTACTGAGGATCAAACTTGAGACCTTGCACTTGTAAAGCAGGAGGCAGAACCACTGAGCTAAATCTCAGGCCCTTGGTCAAGCTGAATATTGAACACATGTGGGCCTCTGCTTTTGAGGGAAAAAGGCAAGGTTCCTCTTTTCACATTTTGGTGGGCAGTCGACCCACGAAGAAAACATGAAATAATTTTCTACAGTGGTTTCTGAAGAAAAATGAGGGTGTGTACATTGGACTGCCACGTGCGGAGTGTGCCTGTGTATGTGCATGAGGGGGATTACCAGCGTTAGGTAGGCAGAGAAGCTGTGGCATTTGTGCTGAAAGTCCTAAAACCCAGGAAAGAGTGGTCATGACACTGTGGAGGGATAGTATTCCAGTCTGAGTGAAAAGTAAATCCAAAGACACCGAGAAGAGAGTAAGCTGGATATATTTAAGTAACAAAAATGACAATTAAGAGCAAGTTAGCTAGTGTGTAAGGAGAAAGGTTCCAGCTGTGGAGAAATTTTGTCCCTGGTGCTTTGCCTCTTATTTAGTTAAAACATTTAAATTCTTTAATTTTTGTACATATTGCTATTTATTCCCACAGTATTTAAGTATTATTAATTTTTACTTATCTAATTTGAATTAACATAGTTTAATTTCTTGATGTCTGGAAAAACATTAATTAGCTTAATTACTTAGGTTAAGAAACAATATTTTAAAGAAGGTATTTGAACCTTTTAAATTTTGAAATAAGAATATTTAAATTATTATATATGAAGCCCCATTAAGCAGGTACTATGTAAAAAACCAATTAATCCCTTGTGATCACTTAATTTTATTACCTTTACTAATTGATAGCAATTAGTGGCTCAGTTGAATTCATTAAGAAGAAAGTGTGATCTGATATATATCCTTAGGGTTGTTGTTCTAATCTTAGACTGTGATAAACATATCTGCCTGAGTTACTTTCATGGGGATGGTACGATGGGAGAATAATTACGAAGAGGAAAACTTGTCAGTTGGTCCTTCTTTGTAGTTAGCAGCTGACGGTCCTGCTTTGCTCTTTATAGGCAAATGATACCCATCTTGTAAGACAACCTCATGCTCAACTTTTCCATGCAGTGTTACATGATCTTTTCTGTCCCCACCAGTTTCTTTTTTCTCTGAAATTACAGCCTCATTTTTTTTGTGCATTTAATCTGTTCTTGTACTACAGACTGAGGTATTATATAGGGCTGCTTTTATCCAAAAGGGAGTAGTAGTCTACAGAACAGAAACTTCCTCTTACAATTCTTTCAACCTTTATTAGGTAAATGGATACACTTGAGACCGTACTTTTAAGTGAAATAAATCAGACACACGTTATTATTGTGTTCATTAACACTTAAGGAAAATGAGGCATAGAAAATATAAATTATCTGCCCAAGGTTATACTCCTTACTGACAAAGCCATAATGTAAACCGAGGCTTTCTGGATTTAGGTCCCTGCTCAACCTTTGAGCTACATTTTTAAAAATTTAATCTAAGACAAAGTTGATGCAGTCTCTCAGAACAAAAACGCAGAAAAACAGGATAGGTAAGAGGTGAAGCAAATCATCCAGGGAGGATGAGCATGGCTCTCCATATAGAAGTCCAATGGAGAACAGAGAAATAAAAATAGAAGAAATTATAAAGAAATAACACAGGAGATTTTCAGAGTTAAAGGAGAAGAGACTCAATGGATAAATCTCTGTAAAGTTTTTGAGAACCAAGGACAAAGGGAAAATCAACATAAATGCAGTGGTTGGAGGTCAGTTTTGTTCAGCCAACTCTTGGTTTATGAAATCAGTTTTTTAAATGAGTTGTCACAGTTTAAAATACATATGATTTTATGCAAAAGTACGAATTTTAGGCTTGTCTTGTGTAGTTAGTAAATCTAGCAATAATAGGTCATATTTGCCCATGACAATAATTAACTTCAGCTACGACTGTAAAGAAGGAAATGTAGTCATAGCAAAATAAAAGCCTTCTTTGAGCAATATGTAAATAATCATAAATACATGACACTTATGGATGTTTAACTTTTAGAACTAGTTTATGGTTATGGGACAGTGCATCAGTGTCATCTAATTTGCTATTGCGATAGTACAGAAAAAGATGTCAGGTATGGAAGTGGAAGAAAGAATGGAAGATGAAGAAGGGTGAGAACATTGCAGTGTTAATATTGTCAAGTGGGGACCTATGTTGGTGCCCATTATAATAAAATAAAACATCAAGGTGTTAGTATATTACTTTGAAGTTACAGGGTTGAACACTGGAGTAACTGAGAAAACGGATAAAACTATACTGCAAAGAGTGAAAGAGAAGTTAAAGGAATGTGAATGAGCTAAATTTCCATTTGTCGTAACAGAAAACCATGAACAATGTCTAGGTCTGGTGAAATAAGAAAGAGCTATGCAGTGCGTTTTGTAGAAAGGTGGAAATAACTGTCAAAAAGAGAACAGAAATGGATAAAGAGTTGTGGCCACTACAGGACTAGGAGGGGAACTCACACTTGTACATGTACATGCACACACACACATGCACGTATTACTGATTCAGAAATTTAACTCGTATAGTATTTTTAGTGTTGTATTGATAGGTATATGTGAAACATAGTAATTACATTCTTTGTGGGGGATACTGAGGAATGAACCCTGAGATACATCCCCAGCTCTTTTCACGTTTTGAGACTAGATGATTAAGTCCGCCACACTGGACTTGAACGTGTGATTCTCCTGTCTCCTCCTCTCAGAGTGCTGGCTTTTCAGCTTTGTGCCACTGCACCCAGCCAAAAATTTCATTTCTTGGAACTGATTCTGTAGGAATACTTACACATGTGCAAAAAGATGTATGTTTACATGTGTTTGTGGAAAATTATTTGAAGTAATAAAAAAAGTTGTAAAAGAAAATTAAATAAATTATGCTAAATCTGCACTAAGGATACTGTGTGCTTCTATGAAAGATTGATAAGTGTATGTGCCAACATATGCATATTTATTAGATATATTGATAAGGAAATAAAGCACATCTCAAAACCCCATTTATGTAAAATTAAAATATGTGTTCATTTAATATACTTAGATATGTAAATTCAGTAAAATAAAATTGTGGATATTGCACATGTCTCTGACATAGGCGTGGAATTATAGGTTAGGGGTATGACAAATTGATACTTTCCTTTTTTTTGTCCTAAATAAACCTTTTTACTTTAAGTTTTCTGGGGAGCATATTGATACATTACTTGGATAATTAAAACATTAAAGTTATATATAGTAATACAATTATACTCTATAGCATTTTATATGGGTAATGAAGTTTGATTAATGAAATGGAAAATTAATTGAAATACTTTATATTATTTACATAAAAATAATCAAAAGACGAGAAGGCTAAAAGTGAAAATGAGACAGAGAAGATAAAACATCAGCAGATTATTTTTCAAAGGTGCCAAAATATGGGTATCTTTAGATTTTTTTTTAACTGCAAAAGCCACTGCTTAGGGGTTCTTTAAAGAAAAATGGTGTAATGGAAGAATAAAGCGGTTAATTTTTGATTAATACATGGTGGTATCTGAAAGTCATTCTGACACATCCAATTTAATAATACATAATTATACTGAAATATGCTTCAAAGAGCTATCGAGGCTATTCCCTGCAACTTTAATATTAAAAGATTCTTTGGGAAAATAACTTCAGGTATAGAAAGGTATAGAAAATCATATGAGTAGGTAGATCCTGGGTTCGGGGAGTAAAGGAATAAGAGAGAAACAGAAGTAATAATCTATATAAATAAGAGTATTAAAGAAGTGTAAGAAATGCGACTTTATTTGTTCTACAGTTATAAGGTATTCTGACATAATTCTGAGATTAAAAGCAATGTTAGAAGCACTAATGAAGAGAACAATTTTAGCTCCTCTTACTAAATTGTGACAAAAGGAAAAGAGGAAAACAAAAGGTAAAATTCTTTAACCAAATACTAATCAGAAAATATTGTTATTATGGTGTAAG